CCTGCTGACTGCTTCCGGCAGCCACCTGGTGGCCAGGCTGCCTGGATAATGGCGTGGTGGTCTGAAAAGCTAGGCTTAGCGTATGACCTGAGAAGTGGGAGGAACCCCAGAGGCCATTAGATCCTCCTGCCCTTCCTCTTACCCTCTAATTAACCATGAGGAAACTGAGGCCCAGAAGAGCCATAGGCATGGCTAGTGGAGAAGGAAGATGACACTTTTTCTTTCAGTTTTTCTCTTAAAAATAGCTCTAATCACTAACGTGAGGTGCTGCCAGGTTTGATAGGGGAGAGGGATGCTGGCTGTCACAAAGACACAGGAGGATCGGGCATCTGGGTTACTGCCCACAGGGAAGGGATCACGGGAGCCATTCCAGATTCTTTATGTTGCTCCCCATAGCAATCTGGGTGGTCCCTGAGGTCCCAGTGGACTATCCCAGTGTCCCCTGGGGCCCAGGGATCCCAAGCATGGCCCTGGCCTAGCAGACCCAGGGGCCCAGAGTAGCCACTTAGGAGAGCTCATCAGTCGGCATGTGGGGTCAAGGGGCCCTCAGTCTCCCCTGTGAGAGGTTATGGGGTACCAGCACTTCTGCATCCACTTCAGTCTTTCAGGGAGGAGCTGGAAGGCCTCATCCAGGAGCAGATGAAGAAGGGGAACAACTCCTCCAACATCTGGGCGTTGCGGCAGATTGCAGACTTCATGGCCAGCACCTCTCATGCAGTCTTCCCAACAAATTCCATGAGTACGTGGGTGTCTGGGGAGCTGCCAGGAGCAGAGGTGGGGGGTGGGGAAAAGAGGAAGGAGCAGCCGGGAGCAGCTGGTTGCCAGGCAACAGAGCAAGCGGTACAGTTGCATTAATGGGCCTGGGGGAGTTGTGCAGCAGCCAGAGAGGTAGCTGGCTCTGCCTCAGATGGTGCCGTGAATTGAAGAGCACAGAAGAATGATCTCTGGTGCCAGGAATGGGAGGGGGGAGGTGACTTCAGGGGATGAGAGCAGGCTACTGAGGCCAGGGTCTTCACGCCTCACTAGACAGGCTAATCCGACTGCAAGGATGAGGAGCCAGGGCTAACATGGACCTAACTTCTTTCTTTGGAGAGTTGTTTTTTTTTGTTTGTTTGTTCATGGACCTAACTTCTTTTTCTGGAGAGTTTTTTATTTTTTATTTTTTTTGCTATAGAGCACGTGTGCTCGCCAGACAGACAGAGAGAGACCGAGAGACAGAAAGCGAGAAATCACCCCCCCAGGGGGGATGGCCAGGCCGCAATCCCTTCTCCTCCATTCTCCTCTTGGGATCTTGGGCACGCATGCACACGCACCCGGCGTGAGTTTTAAGCCACCGGATCCGGGATGCGAACTGCGGTCGACTACATGAGAGTCCAGCGACATAGCCATTATGCTAACTGCTGGTCCCTGGACCTACCTTCTTGAGCTATGGAGCTCTGCCCACAGCTTCTGAAGAACAAACATAAAAAAATATTCTCAACAAGATTAATACAGGATTATGATGGAAAGTTATAAAAATAATTTTTAAAAGAATTATTTTATTTAACTTAATTTATTTATTTTAATTTGACCAGGAGCAGGGGTGGGGGGAGAGAATGTGAGAAAGCAAGCCTCCAGGCCTCCAGGTTCGGAACTCGAACATAGTCACCCAGGTGGGAGTCCAGCACTCTTAACCACCACACCACCTGCCAGCCCACGGTAAAACTCACTATACCGTTCTTAAAACCCAAGAATTTTTATTTTTATTTTTTTAAGGTTTGTTTTGACATAAGGTGCATACACTTGCCAGAGAGAGACGGAGAGAGAGAGACAGTGAGAGGGAAAGTAAGAAATCACCCCCATCCCATGGGGGATGGTTTCATTACCATCCTTTCTCCTGCATTTTCCTGAGATTGGGGGCATTGCATGTACATGTGCCCAATGTGAACTTCAAGCTGTGATTTGAAACATGGTTGGCCATGTGGGAGTCCAGCACTTTTACCACACCACCTGCTAGCCCTGAAAACCCAAGAATGATTATGATCAGTTTTGGGTATATAGCCTTTGAGCCTTTTTCTCTTAAAAGAAGCAAAAATGCAATCACACTATACAAGTAATTTTAATGACTTACTTTGATTAATTTTTTAGATAATGAAGTATGGTTCTACAATATAATTTTTGCTGGGTGCATGCTATTTAGTCAATTTCTCATTATTGGACTTTCAGGCTGTTTCCAACTTTCTGCTATTATGAACAACAATGCAGAACCATCCTTATAGTTGAAACTAAGATTGTATTTATGACTTTTTTATAAAGATAAGTGGTCACTCACCTGGTTCACTATGCATAGTACTAACTACTGCATCATGGGCTGGGCCTAAATTTATACCTTCATATTAGAATATAAGCTTCTCAGGGGAAATTTGTATTTCACTGCTATATACTAGAAAATGCCCTAGATTTGCAGTAGTGTCTGGAGCATAGTAGGTGCTTTAAAAATGTTTACATGAATGAATTTTAAATCTGTATAGAAATGAGGTATGTCTTCTATTTACTTGTCTTCTTTAATGTCCATCAGAAAAGTTTAGTCATTATCTTTGTATAATCCCTACTAATTTCTTTTATGTTTATCCTGGAAATGCTATGTAACTTCATTATTTTAAATGAATCTTTTTCATTCTTTTTTTTTTTTCTTTTTGTTATAGCTCTCATTTAGGAAAATTGTTGGATTATATTTCTTTAAAGTGATCCCTTATTGAACTCCTATTTAAATTCTAATATCTTCTCAGTTAATTCTCTTGGGTTGGTTCTGTATGTAGTCAAGTCATGTAATCTACAAATAATGGTCATTTTTGTCTACTTCGCTCCAACATTTACCCTTTGGTTTATCTTTTCAGTTTTCTTATTACAGCTGTTGGAGATTTCAGAACAACGTTTAATAATAGATTAGACAATAATCATCCTTGTTCCGTTTCTGACTTTAATGGAAATTCTTTAACCATTAGAGTCTCAGATAATTATTCTTTGTGTCATGTTGAAATGTCTTTTTACTCATGTTCACTGTGTTTTTTCTCAGACATGGATGTTGAATTTTATAAAATGCATTTTGGACATTTATTGATCTTTCTTTTTTGAACAATTGATGTGATGAGTTATAGTAATAGGTGTCTGAATATGGAACTTTTGTTCACTGCTGAAATAATTCCTGGTCTTGATACATTCTTGTAAAAAATATTTTTCTGCCTTTGATTGGCTAGAATTTTATTAAGGATTTTTATATTCATTTTTACACGTGAGTTTGGTCAGTCCTTCACTTTTTGGTCAGTCTTCGTCTAATATTGATATTTAAGCTATAATTTCATAAAATGAATCAGGGTGACCCCATCCCCCCCTTTGTATTTTTTGGTTGGGATTATCTTAACTTACTGGTGCAATTTAAGTAAGATAGAAAGTCCTTGGTTTTTTTTTTTTTTAAGAATTATTTAATTTTTTATTTTATTTTTTATTATTATTTTATTTTTTTGAAGTGGACCAAAGAGAGAAAGAGATAAAAGGAAAGTGAGAAAGCAAGCCTCTAGGTCTGAGACTCAAACCAACGTCAGCCATGGGGAAGTCCAATTGCATTAACCACCACACTATCTGCTGGCCCAAGTCCTCGTTTTTAAGATTTATTATTCACTTGCAAAAACCATTCAGGTCTGGAACATTTGGAGGGGATTTTGGACATTTTCTCCTTAATTTTGTCTAGAGTTTTACATTTTATTTTGCTGTTTCATGAGTAAATTTTTGCCATAGGTTTTTGTGTAAAATAATCCATGTCATTGAACTTTACAAAATTATTCATTATTTACAATATTGTTTTTCTAAGTTGCCAGGAGGCACCTGAACTCACCAGAAATAGAGAAAGAGAGGAAGAGAGAGAAAGCACCCTCCTCAATGGGGCCTAGTCACACCATAATCCCTTCTCCGTTTTTCCATCCTTTCAGGATTTGGGGCATGAGTCCACATTTGTCCAGCTTGTTTTTCAAGCTATAGGGCTGGATTCAAACAGAAGTGAGTTATGTGGGATCTGGCTTCCCCTAACCACCAGGTTGCTGGGTCAGCCCTACAAAATTATTTTTATCACTTAGTCTTTATGTTGGAGAGGAGATGTTATTCCATGCTTGTCTCTGGTCCTTTGTTTTTCCACATTCTCTTTATTGGCCAATCCTGATGTTTGTTTATTCCTGGAGTGTCTCACATAGCACAGTTCTTGGGTTTACTTATTGGTTATAACAATTTTCTTGTTTCTCAGTTTATTAATTTTGTTTTTGTATTTATTCATTCTTTTCTATACTTTTTTGAGTTATTTTGTTCTTTTTTTTTTTTTTAAAGAATAAATAAAATGATTTATTCAAGGTCAGCCAGAGGTGCGGTGTTCAAGGTGGCTGGATTCCACATGGCCATGTGCAGTTTGAGTCCCTACCTAGCAGCTTGACAAACCTGGCCAGGAATGTGTGCATGAGATGCTCAAATCCCAACAGGAGAAATGAAGGAGAAGGGGTTAAGGTGTGGTCATCCTCCTTGGAGGGGTGCTTTCTCACTTTCTCTTTCTCTCTCTCTCTCTGTCTGGTGAGCACACACACCCTCTAGCAGAAAGAAAGAGAGAGAGAGAAAGAAAGAGAGGGAGGGAGAAGGAAAAGAAGAAGGGAGGAAGAAAGAAAGGGAAAGAAAGCCTTTCTTTCTTTGAAAGTAATTTATTTATTCACTTCCTCCTTGAGAGGGCTAGAGCAAGAGAGAAAGAGTAACATCTGGCTTTATCTCATTATATTTAGAAAACATGATCTATGTATTCTATCTTGGAGATTTTGCGATTTTGTGGCCTAGGAATAAAACTTAAAATGCTAGATTGGGGGACCTGCAGGTGGCATAGTGGTTAAGGTGCTGGACTCCCACATAGTCAATGACTGCTGTTTGAGTCCTGGCCCTGTCAGCTTGAAACTCTTGCTGGGCTTGTGGGCATGTGTGCCCAAAATCCTGAAAGGAGAATGGAGGAGAAGGGATTGTGGCGTAGCCATCCCCCCACTGGATGATTTTTCGTTTTCTGTCTCTCTGACTCTCTCTGTCTCTCCAGTGAGCACACATGCCCTATAGTAAAAATCCATTAAAAAAAAAGAAAAAAATATATATGGGTATAGAATATCTCTAGGATATAGTATTTAATCTATATTTTCATTTGTACTTGATTTTGTAAAAGGTGAGAGCTGTATTGTTTCTCACTGTATTTCATTTCCATTCATTTTTTATTTATGATAGTTTTTGCTTTTTTTTAATTTAAATTTATTTGTTTACATTCATTCACTGTACATCATTACAGCATACAAAATGAGATTTTCCATCCAGAGTACACTGTATATTGTCTCAATCAAGCACATCAACATACATGTTATTGTCAACAAATAATTTTCCATTTCTTGTTTCCTGTATGTTTTGCTTTTTTTCCCCCATCCTTGATTCCCTACCTCTTATCCTCTGCCATTTCCCACTCACTTCCCACACTATCTCTGGTATCTATGTTTACTTTCTATACTGTTT